TTAGCAGGAGCATCTTCGACCTGAAGAATCTCGTCCTTAGCACGGACTGCGCCGAAAGATTTAGAGGCAGGTTCGGGTGGGGGATCGATGTCGGCGATTACGGTAAGAGATGGAGAGGTATGGCGAGAGGAGAGCGACATATCTGCAGGGCATCAATGCGAGTCTCCTGGCGATGCATTTCATATAAATACCCTGTTCTCCTTCAACTCCGCACCGGGTGCGCGTCGACACAGGGCCACCTCCATCGGATTTGTAAGATGGGATCGAGGGGATGTCCATTCTGTCACCGTTGGTCATAAGCCACCACCTGCTCGAGTGCTTGACCTACCGAAAGAAATCGACTTGCCATCACTATGTTACGCTGCACACCAGTGAGATGTATCGGACTCGCGTACCCCGAAAATCTATCGGCCTTTACAGTCGGCCGTCAGGGTCCGAGAAAGACCGACGGTCGTCTGAAGGGGATAGATAGGATGAGCAGTGCTGTCTTGGAACGGAATCTGCTCTTACCTGACGTCCTCAATGAGTTCGAACAATGCAGCCTGAGAAAATGTTGTCGAGGGACGCATAATAAGGAAGTACATCGCGGATCCCGAAAGGATGTTTCATCTTGCAGATAATGTCTCGATTATTTTCGTTTCGCGTCAGTCATTACCTGTAGATTGTATACGCAAAGGATTAGCTGCAACTTGCAAGAAAACATGCGTATTTGGATTATTTCTCGCTCGTAGGCAGATTTTAAAAAATACAAGCACTTACTAGAGAAGGATGACAGTCTCAGCTCTTGACTCAGTACGACTCTGTTTGTGAAAAGGTCTCTGGTCCAAATTCGAAGGAGAGCGCTCGGGGCGCTGGTAGCCGAGGACGCCGGAGCTGATGTTCGCATCGGCCGACCAACGTCTGGCCAATCAAAATAATATCCTGACTTCTTCCTCCGCGCTGTAAACGTTGTGTGTTTCGTTGCTGTGTGACTTTGAATTATGGCTAATTGTGTAGGCATTCTCGCGACCTGTGCGTTTATAGCCTCGAAGCCGAAATATGTAACGCAGTACTGAATATATGTCTGACTATCATCCATACCGTCTGTGTGGGATTGGCTGGTGCGTTGCAACTCTTCTCTTATTTCTGTCCCTTGATCGCTGACATCTAGAATCGGCTAAGTGTGTATCGTGATCACAGACAGGACACCCGACAGGCTCGTAACAACACATTCGATGGTGCTCTCACTGAAAGGGGACTGCTTTGTTACGGATGAAAGCTTCCAGGGCGCTTATGGGGCGCCTGATGCACAATGATACTGGTAGTTGTTTTATATTACAGAACACTTCGTCCTCGCCGCTCATCTTTGCTGCTTTCCGCAAATGTAGTACTTCTAGATGAATCCCTACACGAACCTTAAGTTTGAAGAGCTTCGGGGTGCCTACATCTTCACGTACCTAAATGGGCCCCAGCCTTTCAGGCCACTGTTCCAATGCAGAATCCCATTCGGTGACTGCCGCCTCTCCAGCCACAGATCAGCGCTCACACTGGAAACGAAGATTCCGCGATGTCAAATCTCAGCGTATTAAACGGAGTCCGTTTCTACCTTAGTCAAGCTGGAATACAACGTATTTTGTACTCGGGATTTGTTTGTTTTGACTCGTGCGGCGACGGTGCCTAACACCCTCATCTTGTGGCTCTCGCATCTGACTAATGCTTTGTTTTCACGGGGCCCTTTCAAGGCCTCCAGAGCGCCGCAAAGCCTTCCATTGTTCTTCTGGGCTATATATCTGGTGGGGAGTTTCGCGACTTTTCATGTCAACATCCCCCAGGCTCACTGACAACCGTACTCGACTTGATCTGGATATCAGCCCCATTCTGCTGTCTTCCTTTCTATTGAATGGATTTCTCTAGCAGGTTACAACCCTTGCGGCTACCAGCCCTCACCGATGTGTTTTTCAGTGCTTCTGACCTGCTGCAGTCGCCGCTCGGTACTCAACCTTGGTCACTCCATGTCGATCATACGAAGACATCGCTGTTTCCGAGCCTGAGGTGTACCCAGGACGGAGGCTTCCCGTCCATATGCATCCGAATCGCTGAATTACCAACGCCACTTCCCTTACGCGCGGCACCAACTTCTCGACCAACCAAAAGGCATGAAGTCACGGGCCGTCCAGCGAGAACAAAGCACCATATAAAGGGTTGGATTGAGGTGCGTATTCCCATTCTTGCATGATTGAGGCCTTATCCTAATATACTATAGACAAGCTTATCGTATTTCTCTTCGGAATCCCACCATCAATCTGCGAATTTATATGCATGCTCAGTATTTCTCCTATGCCTATGTGGACCGCATTTCTGTCTAGAATCAGTAGGTTTCCAGTTTCTCTCTTCGCACCATTCATGTGCTCAATAAGTGCAGGACCATTATCACGAACGGTCATGTAGTGGATCATGGACGCTACGTTTAATGTCATCGCCGCTTGATATGACCGCATACAATCAGTGAGCTTGCCCTTGTGCATCATTCTACCCTCTCTTACCTGTATGTACGCAGCAGCATTATGCTTGTGCCGTTTGCATTGATGTTGACGACGGTGCTCTGAAACCTCATATCTCCTTTGAACAGCTTCAGGGCTATCATACTAGATTATAATCTGCTTGCCTGGCCTTCATGAAATCCCAACATCGAAGAATTCAGCCATGCAGCATTTTAACCCATGTCTCGCCCTCAAAATGACAGCGGTACATGACCATGAGCCTTGTGGCTGCATCACCCCTAACATGATCATGCGCATGCGCGATCGCGTCCAGGTGCACCGTAGGCGCGTGAATGAAGCGGAAAGACAGGGATAGCCGGAAAGGCAAGAGCAAAACAAAAACAAAAACCGTTTCTGAAGAAATGAAGGAGAAATGTGAAACCGTGCGCGGTTGGATGTCACAAGATGGAACGCAGCGCGGCGCCTACACGATCTCGACCACCCACGAGTATGGACGGTACATTTCCACTAAACACAGTCCAGGGGCTGAGTATATGCTGAGGTATGGAGTATGTGAGTGGACAAGGAATGGATGGAAGGACAAGAAGCATTGCCACATGAGGACATTTTGCAAAGTCTCAAGGTTGGGCACGAAGGTGTCGGAATTGCGTTTATGGTCGACTATGTGCGGCCGCCGCTACGGCCGTCTTCAACATCCTCCTCACCATTATACGCACAGGTTCCTGCCAGCTCCGGCCACGAAGTCCATCCGTGATTCATTTTCATCATCATTGAGGGACTCGGTCTCGACACTGGCTACCAACTTTTCTACCTGCAGTCACCGGTAGTTTCCGGGCTCATACTTTCACCTGCCTTTTCCACCCAGGCTAGCAGAACCCATGTGCAGCGAAGGCTTTTCGCTCTTGAATTCGTAGCGGGCGGTCCTCCTAGTTTCTCTTTCACAGCCACTTCTGGGATCGACCTGATGACACACCTCGCATTGCAAGATACCAAGGATTCAATTTTTAGCCTGCAAAGGCCTGGACCCTGTCCGTTCCGTGGACAATACCGAAGCACTACTTCCGTGATTTTCACCTGACCTGATGTCTGTTTACTGCATTCACCACGTATGCTTTCCACCAACGCTTGGCTACACATCAACAATGCAATCATAATCTTCATCTGAGGCCAACGGAGTTGCATGCTAAAGCCATGCCTCGATGAGCATGGTTTTGGTTGTGACTCCCTTGACGTCGGGTCAAAGTTTCAAAATAATGTAACAGATACTGAGCTCTGCTGGGTGAAAAGGTGTCATATTCTTAGTGTCCGACGTCCTCGCTAATCGAAACTTCGGTAGTGTCCATAGTACACACACAAAATACAAGATACAGCAAATACATCTGGTCAATGAATTTATAATATATGGATCCCCAAGTAGCTGCAGGCGCCTAGGACCCCAGCCCCGACGAGAGCAGCGATGGCAGCACGACGCAGGAAAGTGCGTGCGGTCAGTCGGCGCTCACCCTGACTCCCAGCGGCATCAATCGATGCAATATCTTCGTCCGTCAGTTCTGGACGAATGAATCTGAGCGCGCATGTGAACGTGGCTGCATAGTACGTACCGAGATCTCCGGCAGCCAGGTATCCCTCTAACCGCTCCCGTTTTGTGCTAGCGCTATCATACATCTTGAATAGGGGAAGTTGAAGTACAGGGACAAGATACTTACGTTACGACCACGACTCCCTTGGCTTTCGCCCATGCGAGTAGGACCTGTTCTGGCTTTGCATTCAGGCGGGTAGCAATGTCCTGCACAGGCTTGTCGACTGGACCGCCGGGCTGAGAAGTAAGCGGTCTGTCATGCGACATCATGTTATGGCTCATTGGTGAAGACCATTGACACAACGACGTACATCAGAACACTGTACGCCTCGCTCACGATGCCGTTTTGGTTTCCATACTCAACAATGGGCATCTGGGAATTGAGTACGTATGGGTGAAAGAGAATCTGCATAGTAGAGTCAACAGGTGGCAGAGGAAGATATGGAGTTACAGAAAACACACCTGGTTTGCTACAGGCTTGATTTTGGCAGACGCGAGGAGCGTTTCAAGCTGAGGTACATTGAAGTTACTAACACCGATGCTCCTGCAAATGTTTCAGCGTCTCAACATGAGAAGAGAAAGGCCAGAGAAGACGAACGCACTTCGTCAAGCCAGCCTCCTGAATCTTCTCCATCCTAGACCAAATGGTCGGTATATCCGGGACCGCCAACCGGGGGTTGTGAATCAGATATAAATCCACATATTCGAGACCCAACTAAGAACGATGTCAGGGGGGCCAATAAATGATATTTACTAGCACGTACATAGTCGAGGCTGTTATGGATGGAGACGTCTATGTCCGCCATGCCGGAGTATTTCGTGGTAATAAACAAGTCTTCACGAGCAAGACCGCTCTCGCGAATGGCGGTACCTGCCTCCAACTCATTCCTGTAGGATTGCGCAGTGTCTACGTAAAATGTGAGAATAGATGCGTACGGAGGATCGAGATGGGTGGTCGACCACAAGGAACATCAAACTTATACTCACCAACATGGTTGAAGCCAACAGATAGGGCTTGGTCGACATGTGTAGTCGCTGATTGTCCCCCGCCCAATTTCCATGTGCCGAACGCAACGCTTGGAATAGTCGCCCCTGTACATTAGAAACGAAATTCAAGTAACACAGGCGCAGTCGAAAGGCGCTCGACGCTGGTCAGCCCTCTGGCCCTTTCCAAGCAGCTCAGTCAGCACACTAACCGTTGTTCAACGTTATCAAGTCCCAAGGCATCCCAGCAGTGATTCAAGGAGTCTCGTACAAATGGTGGTCGTGGAGCAGTACCAAGTCCGTCGAGGGGCCGCATTGCGGAATTCCGGAGTTGTGATTCCGCTGCGTCGAGGTTTTTACGCCCACGCATATGGGAACCAACGTGGAGTCCAGGTCAAGTCGTCGAGATTGTTTCCCACTATTGCTGAATCTGGCAGGTACTATTCACACTGAATATAGCATATCGAGAGCGATTGCGACTTTCAACTGATATCATTGTGACAAGTTGCATAATACATGGTATAGCAGGGGCAAGACAAAATGGAGGGAGCCAACATGGAACCAACAAAACGAAAACGGCGTGGCAATGGCATGGAATCTCGACAACAAGCTTCAAGTAAAGCGCTGGGGCACAACGTCCGACATACGCATGCGCTTCGCAACATTGGATCTCGGTGTAAGCTCCTCCAGAGACTTGGTTGGCATAGGAGGGTCCGAATGTCTGGATCGAAGGACAGACTTGAATATGTTTTGACGACGTTTAGGAGGTGGCCCTAGCGTAGGCAGCCGGGAGGGTGGTGATGCTTTATTGGTCGCATCCCTAGCACCAGCACTCGCTGCTCGTGGGGTGACAGGCAGGGAGGGTATCTTGCTCTTCGCCGCGGGGACGTGAATTGAAATTACACGACCAATGCTGATACGTCGAACTCGCGGCGGCTTGGACGTACAGACTGGCTTGATAATCTCGGTAGATTCGACCTGCGATGGCATCTCGTAATGCGAATCCGCCGCTGATCTGTCATGGGTTATGCAAGCTGCACGGAAAGGAAGTGAAAAGTTTGGCTTATCCTTAATTCGCGATAAGTCGGTAGTGGTCCGAATTGCTACATGCTGTAATCGCACGTGTTTAAAAAAAGATATACAACGAGAGGAAACGGGCAACGAACCTCCTCCGATTGCAGATATGCACATGAACTGATAGCCTCCTGTGGTGTTGATCCATGAGGATCAGCGGCCAACGCAACACCTTCTACCAATGTTGGTAACTCGGGCCGAGGAAGATTCCTGATCGTCACAGCTATATTCTCCAAAGACTGAAGAGTATCCATCATGTCTTGTGGCATACTCAAACTTTGCATCGGAAGAATGTTGTTCTTCTGCCTGGCCTCATCAGAATTTGCGCCCGGAGTAGCTACTGGTATAGTCTGTGCCTGACCAGCTTCTTCTATAGTCTCGCCCAGAGAACGGCCCAGGGGGTTCGTGCAGCGCATAGAAGCATCTAGACGAGTGTTCTGAGCACCTAGAAACGATAGTATCGTGGTGTTGGATTTTGAGGTTTTCATCGCAGCAAAGGAAGGGGTCGCCAAAAGCAAAGAAGACTGGGCTGGAGCGGGACGATAGGTCAAGCTGGAGCGGAGTGTAACAGAACGGGGCAAAGATCGAGTACTGATAAATGAATCCGACTTCTGAACTGCGAGGAAAGACGGTGTGGGTATAAGCAGGGGTTTTCCAAGTGGATGCACAGATGGTGCAGTAGGGATGCAGACAGAAGCAGGATTTGAAATATTGAGTTCGAGAGGAATAGAAGCCGTAGGAGGAACAGAACTGCTCATCTGAGGGGGTTTGCTAGGCGATAGAGACGTTCGGACCTTGGACCTGACATAGGGCTTGGCACAGCGAGGAACAGCATTAGGAATAGAACGTGGTGTCTCGGATAACACGGGGAAAACGAAGGCTTGATCAAGGGACGATCGGAACACTGCCTTGGGTGACTTCGGTATGGATCTTTGTCGCGTGTGTCGAATCCTCCCAGGCGTGCCATAAGTCCGTGACGCAGGAACAAGCCCACTCTTGAGCTGAGCAGTCGCTCTGGAAACACCTGGGGTTATAACATCCGTGCAGTCGCCAGAAAGACTATTGCCAACCTCGCCGAATGTGTGTCTACGACCAGGTCGAGTTCCAGAAGGAATCGGGAGGCGGCTCTTGCCCTTGACTGGAGTACCGTTAGAGGCAACCCTGGATTTTGCTTCTGGGGTGCGGACAGGAATTTGCGACACAGGTAGGCTGGACCCAAGCATCTGCGCGACAGAGTAGATTGCAGGACTCGCCAAAGCGTCACACATCTGTTACCGCCATTACTTATATGCTGGGCTAGGGAGTCAGCCGTTGGAAACACAACTAGTCGTTCTTTGCTCCACCTGGTATTCAAGTACTCAGATCTCAGATCTCATAGTCCAAGAGTCTGTGCGTCCGGAATGAGCATGTCCCGCGCCATGCTCTGAGTGAATTCCTGAAACTTGCAGCACATATAAACACAAGGAGAGAAAGGAGAGAGACACTAAGGTAGATGAAAGCGTCTCCACATAACAACCACATGGCAAATTGTCGTTGTGGTTTGAAACGCAAAAAGGTGACGGTGGCGAGGTAGCAAGGTGCAAGTTTGCAACCAAACACTACACGCCACTAGTGAAATTGAACTTGACGCCGACTCTCATTAGCTTATAATCCAACCCAAGAACGCGACACAAGATTTCGCGCTAAAATTCGTATCCTCGCTCGAAGGGCTGGACACGACGGGAGCTTTGCTCGGTTCATGAAGGGTCAGTGAGAACGGAGGAAGTAAGTGCTTGACAACGAGCGTTCGAGGCCTTCTCGATACTCATCAACGGTATTGTAGACGGGGTCTCAGTGATACGAATACCCGTCACTTCAAGTTGAACGTGCTCTGCCTTGTACTCTGAGCTCGACTTCAATGCCTCCGCGACAGGGCCCTCCTTCGGAAACCCCGACGCGTTATTCACGTTCAGCGAGGTCTGGCACGTCGTCAAAACCTCGTGCGTATTCTAATGCATCTCTAACGAGCAATGTAAGCGGTGTCACCACCGTTGTGCCGGGCAAGAGGAATAGTATTGGCCTGTCACGATCGCCAAACGCGACGCCGATGCCAACGTTGGCAAACATGGAGAAGATTAAGAGTCCGCCTGTAATCCCCAACAACGTGCCAGCCAGCCGTCGCATCTCTGCACCTGCACCTCCGCCGTCCGCGTTTGTAGAGCCGACTCTGTCTACGCCAAGCCTTACCTCGTCTCTTCGCAAGTCCCGCAACGCACCTCCAGCGAGACAGGCCAGCGTACCAGCGCCCGGTGCGCCCTCGGTGGCCGCTTCTAGGAGGATGGTGCGTTCCACCTCAATTTCGCTGTTCACTGCCGACTCGGAGACGGCGGCGGGGAAGACAACGTCTGTGCCCCCGCGCATGCGCGTGATGTCCACGCCCCGCATGGCCTCCTCGCAGAGCAAGCTGTCGAACACCACCACGTCGCCCTCGATCACGCTTACATCTCCCAGCGTACCACGCAATAAATCGCGTACGACCACGCCGAAGACTACCCCGTCGAAGCCCCAGCGCTCACCTAATGTTACGCGAATCACGCCTGCAAAGGCAGGATCCCCCCCAGTGCGCACGGCAAACGGTACCCCGAGCGAGACACCCTTGCGTGCGCTGAAGTTGATCGCAGGAGGCGAGGGAGAGGGAGAGCCGTTCCCCACCTGGGATGGAGACGACATGACGTTGGACATGGTAACAGATGTGGACGAAGGTGACATAGATGAAGAGGTATGCTGTACTCGTCCACGTATAAGTTTGCATGTTGACTCGGGGCGCAGATGGAGAGTGCGCTCCAGACGGTGCTCACGTTGCACACGCGGAAGTTACTGCACTACAAGCGTTTGCTCGAACGCGCACAAGCGTCTACTGCTGCCCAATTGCACGCGTTGCAGGCAGAGGTGCGACTACTCCGTGACCGCGAACGAGAGCGAGAACAGACTGGTGCTATGTTACTGGAGGAAGATGACGACATGTTTTGTGCATGCGGGGGCAAGAAACGGAAAGATTACTGGAGTGGGTATCGAGGCGGCGAGGATGATGGAATGGCCGGAGAGATTGACCTTGCAACCGCGTTGAGGGGCGACGGCAGTGGGAGTTTCAATGAGATGGAGGTGAGACGGGCGGTGAGAAGCTTAAGTCGCGATGACAGGATGAGGCTGTGAGTTTCTTTGATCAGAGTGAGATCCATGCGCTGATATTCGAATCTCAGTATCAGTCTAATCCTGGACTCATGTATGCCTGGGGACATTCGGCTACAGATCTTGCTGTTGGAGAAGTACGCCAAGTCAACATTCGATATTGTAGGCAACCTCGCACCAGACTTAGTGTTCAAGATCTTCAGGTGGCTGAGCGTAGAGGAGCTGCTCGGCGTAGAAAGTGTATGCTCATAATTTAATTTTCATTCACTGTCATTCATGTTGACCTGACTTTGATGACAGGTATCTAAAAAGTGGCAAGAAATGGTGCACTTACCCGCATTATGGAAATATTATTGCTTGCGTATTACAGCAACCGACCCTATGCCCGTAAGACCGCCTGCAAAACCAGAAGGATGGTGAGTAGATGCTGCATCTAATGAATTGCATAACTACATATCGTGTCTAATAGGGAGCCCCTCTACCGTTCGTTGCATCATCGCGAGTCGAACTTCCGACACGCTCTACCTCAAAGTGTCCGGTTCCTGAATGGACACACGAACTACTGCACAACATTGCTCTTGCGCGGTATGCCGACCCCGTTGGATGTTTAGTAACATGTCTTGATTTGTTTCGATTTGAACACCTAGGTAAACGTCTTATCAGTGGGTCGTATGATGAGACAATTCGATTCTGGGATGTGGAGACCGGCGAAATGAAGAAGTGCTTACAGGTCAAGAAGCCGGTCAGCTGTGTAGATTTCCTGGCAGACGAAGGTATGTCCTATACGCATTGCAAATGTGATATCTGACTCCTTGGCAGAGGTGTTCGTCGTCGGTTTTCATGATGTTGGGTATGATGTGCATGTAATCAATCTACTTGGATACTGACCGTCGTACAATCTACAGACGTGTGCACCTGTTCTCGTCGCTTACATTTACCCCCTTGCAACAGCTTGCTGGACATCTAAATGGAATTCGCGCGGTGGCCCTTTCATCGCAGAATCTCGTTTCTGCTGGTGCAGACAAGGCACTTGTATGCTGGGACTGGCGCGCAGGCACGAAGATTGTGCGATTTGGACAACAGACAACAGTGAACATCGGTGTGCAGATTATTGGAGGAGGTGGACCGCAGGAAGGTGAACGTGTAGTGAGCGTTACTATTGACGGGATTGTTCGCGTGTTTTCAATCAGTGAGTTGGTGATTTCTATACTTGGCGGTCGGTAGCTGATGTCTATCTTCTTGCAGAACGTCGAGAGATGGTGTCGCAATTCAAGCTCACTGAATTGGGTGGAGGTGATCCTGTGTTGAACGCGAAGCTACTCAATGTCGGCAAAGCGCCAGACAACATGCTCCAGTAAGTGTACAGTGTTGCGGACCATGGGCCACACTGACGCAATCTTAGGTGGTTTGCAGCAAAAGGAACACAAATGACGGTCAGCACATTGCATATCGTAGGAATTACGAATGTGCTTACGCTAGTCTACAGTGTGCCACCAAATCAATCATATTGCATTTACAATGGACGGAAGAGGAGGAATCAAATATCCCCGCAAGCGCAGCTGCAATTGCCGATCCTTCACGACCTGCCACTCCTCTTACACCCGGCAGTGCACTCAGCCCAAGTCAATCCCGACCCGGAATATCTCCCCTCCTCGCACGTTCTACTTCTGCTCTCTCAACGCCTCAGCGTCGAAGCACCCTGTCTATCCCTTCTTCCGCATCGTCTGTCAAGAGTCCGCTTTCGCCCGCAAGTTCTGCGTTCAAGGGTCGACTTTCATTAAGTACGACTGCTCCCCCCTTGACGCCCACGAGCATGTCGCCGCGCACGACCACGCCGCTTTCGACGTCGACTTCAGCGAACGGATTCGCGGTCCGCTTTGGACGAGCGGCAGTCTTGACGGCGCCGCCAAAGCTTGTTGCTGTTGTAGAGACACCGGACATCGCAGTAGGCGCAGTAGACCCTCGGAAACGACGGGTCGTGACGGCTACGCGTTTCAGTACGCGGGCGGGTGCAAACCGCAGTGTCAGTTGATTTCTGATTTCCCAGGTAAATGTTTGGAATCTGACCTCTTCACATTTACAGATTTTCTTGTCCACTCACCGGAATAGACAAGAAGAATTGGCTAAAGGGGCAGAAGATGGTGATGGCGATGAGCAGCAGCAGCAACCCGAATGCTCGCGTACACCATCGCCGGGTGTGGACTTCGACACGGACATCTTACCGCTGTCAGGCGCGTGGGCAGCCCTCGCTGAGGGAGATAACGTCGCATCTGCCGGAGTGAGAGGGCTGCTTGGACAGCTACCAGCGAAATACCAGGGCTTGGCAACTCCGGAGAAAAATCCAATGTCGATGCAGTTGAGCCATGAAGAAGTGGTGGTAGGATGTGCAGATGGCACGATTTAGTAAGTATCTGCCGCGTCAGTTGCACCCTATTTTGAGACGCTAATAGTCTTCATTATAGTGTAATGAATTTCGTTGGATACGAATATCGTCGAGAGAAAACACAGGCGTCCGTCGAGTTCGACGAGCATATGACGGGTGCTGGGCCTAACGACAATGACAGTTAGAATATGTACTACGAAAAATCGTGGATTGTTGTCGCTCACCCGCGTCCTCTCCTTTTGTCTTAGTAACGGATTCGGTTCGGATGGTAGGATCTATATAATGACTTTCTAATATTATGTATTTCACCGCAAGCATTCCTTGTCCTTTTACCTCGCCAGGTCCTGTAAGTGTAGAACTTGGCAGTCGAGTGGCAGGAGTCGTGGATGGAGTCGTGTCTTGCGAGACTCATTCACGGGGAAGGACGTGTATCGAATTAGGCCAGGGCCGCATCAGGACAGTGGCAGTAAGCGAGACCCTGAGCTCAGAAGGCTTCTTCGGATCCCGAATATTACCAGTTCCTGTGGCCAGTCTCGTCTTCGTGATCCCGATGTCATATAAGTATTTTGAACTGTTTGGGCGGCCTGTCGTCCCGCGGAGCGTTGCAACACGGAAGTTTTTGGACCCAATGGTCTCGACTTTTAAGTAAAGACCAAAGTCTGCTGACTAGGATTCGTTGCGAAATCTACTAGGTGACTGACTATTCCTCGTTTCCTCCGCGCAAGTGCTCTCAAGGCCGTTTCTGCTTCCAGAGGAATAATCACACATTGATATTGAAAACACTGCCGCACGACAATTCTTTTGGGGTCTGTGTTCTTGAATAACGGTAAGCTCGAGTGTCAAATCTGTTCAATTTGTGTACCATGTACCTTTTGCATGCCAATGTACGGAAAAGACACCATAAACTAATGTTCTATCCCACAGATATGGCATAGCTATACAGGAATGAGAAGGAAATTGGAATTACCTTCTGTGAGAGTGATCTTGCTTGCGAGGAGCTAGGGGAACATACTCCGCACCAGACATCCAGCGGTCCCGCTCATATGAATCCGCGAGGTTTGCAGGCTCGGTGTTCTTGGTGCTGTTGTTAACGTACCTGTCGGGCTGGAATATTGACCGTCAGACATCACTCACATTTCGAGAACTCATGTTGAATCTCTCGAAGTTAGCATGCCTAGAGGGGGCAAGTTCTTGATGCTTTCAACAAGAACGTCAGCATACCTATGTGTGAAAGATCCATATAGTTCTCACAGGATTGGCAGAATGGTTTTCGTCGTGTCGGCCGCACAACGTTCTTCGTCTACCCCGTAGACCCACAGCATGTCTCTCATCACTTCGCGATAGAGAACGACGAACAAGGCTTCAACGTCTTGGAAAATAATGAAGACCTAGAGCACGGTGCACCTGAGGCGAATATGAAAACAATACGTGCGGAAATGGCACTGCTGGGTGGCTCTCTCAGAGAATATTTCCAAAGCGACGCAAAAATCGAGTAAGTGCTTGAGAATGTGACCGATATTGCGCAGCAGCAAGCCTTTGATGAAGATGGTTGGACTGCTATGGCGGACTGGGGCGAGGACAGGTCCGAATCGAAAAAGTTCGAGAGGCTTCCTAAATGCGCCAATGATTCGAGATTCCGGCTAGTCAGAGAGCAGCTGGGACTGGATTCCCGTGAAGAGATGGGATCCGCATGGATCCTTCGTGCATGAGATGCTGAGGAAACCTGGGTAGTTCGTGAAACTGAAGTCATAAATACCTGAATTATTATCAGAATCTGACAAAAGGATTACTCTGGTTGACGTCTTTCGTCATTTACACGTCGCTCGATCGTCGATCAACCCTAAGTGAGTATAAGAGCACTGGAACGGCCGACCTCCCTCTTCTTCGGTCCCCACCATGGCTGCTTCCCCGCAATCTGCTCAGAGCCCCGAGTTCGACCTCTCCGAATGCTCCATCTCCTTTAGTACCCTCCCACATCCGGAATATCCCAACATCCTCATCCACTTGACCGCCAAGGTTGAGCATCCTATCCACAAGACCATTGCGACCCTGTCCGCGCTACAGATTGTGAGATGGCGCTGCGGGGACCAGTTCTTACGCATCATGGATGAAGAGTCCCAGGAGCTCCATGAATTCTCCGTCAAGTTATTTGACAAGAATGGACATTTGAAGCCCGAGCTCGTCGATGACGAGTATCACAGGGGCTCCGGATGCTGGGGCAGAGAGATGAACCGTGGCACCATCATTTATGTGGAGGATGTGCGGGTCGTAACCCAGGTGCGCGACATCGTCGTTGTCAACAGTAGTAGCTCAATCCCTTCCAGTTTCGCCACAGAGGTGTCGGCTCGTGGGCGCTGAAGAAATTTGTTCGCTCTAGCTTTGTCAACGAGTCCGCTTTTATTGTCGCCTGGCCGACTCCTATCAAAAGGCCAGCGGACGAAGGACAATGGAAGGCCGAGAGATGCAAGCTCGTCAAGTTCTTCCGCAAGGCTCGTTATTCTGTGCTCTGCCCATCTCATTGGCTCATAATGCACACAGAATGGCTTTCGTCGTATCGGCCGCACCTCATTTTTAGCTTATGCAGCAGACCCTGGACATCCGTCTCATCGTCTACCCGCAGAGAATGATGTAGAGGCACACGACGTACTTTTTGTTCCAGAAGACCCAGGCACAACCTCAGTCGACACAGCTGACCCTGCACACCACGCCCGTTATCCTCTCCACCACGCCATCGCCACAGAAGTTATTTCCAGCCCGTCCTTCCAGTTTTTCCGACCCATGCCAACCCAAGTTCCACAGGGGCCTGGCATTGGCACGATCATACGCGAGGCATACACAAAGTCACCCTCATCTATACGTGCGCGAGACGAGAACGGGCTTACACCGCTCCATATTGCCTCGGGTCTTAGTGCTGTCGGTGCTGTCGAGGCGCTCCTTTCGCTGCCCAAGGAAAGCGGCGTATATGAAGATTTAAAGAGGCGAGATAACACAGATGGCGTGACACCCCTGGAAGCTTGCACGGCGCACATGCGTTCGAACAAGGAATTCTCTGAGACGATGCTGGGTCGCTGGCAAGGATACAATGCGAATGATCTCAAGATCGAATATATGCTGCGGAGTGCGGCAGGCGAGCGGATTACCGATTCGCTGCAAGAGTGGACGAGGAAGCGCAAATTGGGTTGTACGTGCGGGCAATGCGCAGACGGGTGGCTCTCTCCGAGGATGCGATGCAGGCTTTATCGTAAGTCTCACGACGTGTTATCACCTATCTTGCTGACCATTTCCTCCTTGACTCAGACTCCGCAGTGTTTTATTTTGACACGATGGGCATGGAAACCTCGATGCTTTCGCGTGGTCGGCACCTCAGCTCGATTGAGCGTAGTTCGCTACTGGGAGTGGACCATCTTCCCCCTCTGACAAGGATGAATATAACCAAACGATTCTACGAGCAGTACTGCCGTGTCGTTGAGGCAGTTGCAGCCATGTTCCGCAAAGATGCGGGATCACCAGACGTCACAGCCGTGCGTCAAGCGTTGACAACGATGCGCGGCATTGATGAGTTCTTCCTGTATGGCGGACGCATTGAGCACGCACTCGACCTAGTGACAGCCTCCGCGCGAGACCAGAGCCCCGTGGGCGATTCGACTTGGGACGATATGGTTGAGGAGGACGATGATGAGAGCGTCTGGGATGGGTACAAGTCTATGCCAAAGTGTGCAAATGACTTGGAGTTCGCGCTTGTGAGGGAGCGGTTAGGTCTGGATCCGGATCAGCCATGGGGGCCGTATTTTGAGTATGAAGATGAGGACGAAGACGAGGAAGGTATGGATGGCGACGGATTTAGCGACGAATTCACAGATGACTGAGTGGATCGTACGTATCGTCCGGTCTTGCGGAGTCGGATTGTGATGATGCAATTTTTATATAGGCAAGGGATGGCTGCACGAGTCTGTGCTGAATTAATACGCCCGCTTATGAAACACTGATTGTATGCGTCCAGGCATGTATAAATTGTGTTTGTCGAACCCGATTGGCCATCGCGTTGTCTTTATTCCATCTTGGCGTGCCGGTAGGGAATTACAAATTCTTGCACTTCCTTTCTCCGTGGTGTTTGGATATAACGCTCGCGGTCACGATCAGACCGCCCCCGCGTACCCTCTCGATCGACCTACTCGATAGGACCAATGTCGCGCACTTTCTTCCATTAGTTACATGGGTGTCGTCGCAAAGAAGAATGTTGTACCATAGTGCCTTCAGCCACATTGGGCTGCTGTGTAGTCATGCTGATGGCAAGCAGGTAGATCTGCTCCATTCTTCAGTGACGCGAATTAGGGTCATCCTAAATTTACCCGCGTACAAACCAGATTGTCTCCAATATGAGATGTAGTGCACTAATACTCAGATGACAGTCACCACCCAGGCACAAAAGCGATTCACATACCCATATGTAGCAGCAGATCGTCCACAGACACCCATCATAGAGAACACACGCTAGCCTGAGCTCGTACGGCTCACCAACTCATGCCATCTTCTCTCTGTTATCTGCTGCTGAACGAAATTCCAAAGGTCGTCTAGCTCATGATATTTGTAAAGCTTGGCTACGACGTGCATGAGCCTCGGACAAACCTCAGAAGCTACATCCAGCGCCATAGTAAGAGTTCACAGATTTAGTGACCAGTAAGAATTGACTGGGGCAAGCCTTTGCTGTTCGTCCCGAGTTCGATTTTTCTGATTGAAACTTGGAGATATTGAGCAAGTCGAGGGTTTGAGATCCTTTGCAAGTAAACCATTTCGAACAAGAGTAGGAGAGGAAAGAAAGCGGAAAAGACGTAAGTTCATTCAGTTGAAGATCATGCATGATCAACAATTTTAATTTCCACGCCACGGCGCATCATGCGCGGCCGCTATTGGCATTTCGCATTCAAGGACTCGGAATGCTGTAACCACGAAATATACTACCAGCATACTACAAAAACAATGTCGTCAAGCTAAACCCAATCGCAGGTCGTATCTTCCATTCGGTACAATATGGTACGTGGAAAGTTATGATATCATCTGTTGATATTTTAATCCAACTTTGGCCGTACGGAACGCCTGAGAGTAGATAGGCAGCCGAAAGTTCGTGAAGGTGAAGGCCCGATTCTGGTGCTTCGAAGTAATTGTACACTCCAAGCGCAAAGGCCGGTCTTGAGCCGAATTCCCAGCCTCCTTTGATCTTCACTGTTACTTCTCCAATCTCGAATGCCTCACAGTGGAGCCTGAGTTCGCTGTTTTCTAGACCGCCGCTTTGTTCCTGCTGGGTTTTATGTTGAGAAACGCTCTCTACGGGGAGAATCAGGAGTGTAATTTGTAAGCCTAGGTTGGTGAGCACCATCTGCTGTCTGGTGGATAATTGTATGCGATGATCTGACACCACTGGATAGTCATAGGAGTCGGGTGACGATGGCAATGCACGCGAAGTGTAAGAAGAGCCTGGGTACCCTGCCCAGTGAAGGATGTCTGTCGTCGGTGACGACTGCATAATTGCCTCTATGAGCCGAGCGAACGCTCGCTGCGAGCCCTCCCCGTAAGCAATTGGGAAGCTTACATCGAAGATTCCCATCAAGGAGTACGCCCTATCTTCGCCCCTTGTTGTGCGTCTTCGTGCAGCCCATGACATTCGTAGAGGGATTGAATGTGGCCCTTGAGCCAATTCAGCTAACAGCGTGCGTTCGTCGATGCCTGAACCTTTCGCAATTGCACTGACGATAGAGCTCGGCGGTATATCCCGGAGCCGGAAGTCTCGGTGGATATCGTATGGCCAACTGGTCAAATCTGCCCATCCCTTTCCGAAGAACTTCAAGGTCACAGGCGCGAGTAGTTCCTGGAGGGTCCACCCCCGTCGAAACCATTGATCTCGGTGAAGGTTGGCAACCGACGCTGTCTGTGACAAGAGAACAACACAAATATGTGCTGTCTTGTACCACTTGAACATTGACCGGATAGATTCGTCGAGTTCGGCGCTACTGCTCTTGTCTATGCAACACGTGTCAGACCACCCAAAGTCCACACCGACGTACTGCCGCGCGACGCTGCAAAACTGCAAGAGTTTATCGTATCCGGGACCAGTAGGCCTGTCCCTCCGCAGCATGTCTTCATAGGTCGGTTCGCCGGAGTCTAGCCACCGATGAGAGAAAATGGCATAACGGACTATTCCTTGGACTAGCTCTCTGATGGCATCTTCTCGCGGGGTGTTTGTGAGTTTTCTGGCAAAGAAGGGGTCGGACATCTTCTGCTGAATCGCATCTTGAGTAATCATGTCTAAGACGTGGACTTGGAAGTGATCTTTCACCGCGAAACGATCCACTAGCTGTAGGCTGTATAGGTTGATGAGGCGTATAGGCATCTCATCGTGTATGAATCGAGTGAAGATGTCGAGAACCTCTTCCGAGGACATGGTTTTACCGAGCGCAATTCAATGAGGATAGGATGGTTGACTACTTAGAGAGGCACAAGAGCCGGATGCCTCTTGTAAGTCGTGCCTCTTCCACGTGTACCTGATGCGTTCCCTTCGGTAAGCTATATCATGGAACATCTGGACCTCAAATGACTGCCAAGTATTTTACCTGTTGTCGAGTGCTTAAATTTTGTTATGGGCAGCCTACCGTTACGAGAGCCGCGACTGATGCAAGTGACAGAAAGACCACACCTGTTCCCCAACTCCCAACTCATTAATATTGATGGGGATTTAAAAATATAACTTCAGATACACCATGAAGCTATAGATGTGACACTCGAGTCAATTGTGACCACCCCAATCCCCATCTGCTTGGGTCATGAGCGATATACTGTAGGCGGGTCGTGTCCTCCTCGGACGATACTCTTTTGGCTTGTGAATGCAACTGCTCGACTGCTACGTTGGACTCTGTTTATCTTCACGTTTTTTGACGATCGTCGATTGATTGACACTAGGCATCATCTATGCTGGTACCATGCTGATGAAGTATTGAAAAATAACAACCATAGCGCGTGGTCTTACAATGCTGCTTGTCTTCACAGCAGGTGGAAGGCAAATTTGAAAGAACGCCTCCTTTCCGGCCGTGAATGGAATCGTCCTTCGGCGGTAGGAAATTTCCGACATCGGTTCTATGGCTAAATCTGAGAGCACGAAGGTGATTGGTGAAGCTAGATGCAGTACGATCATTATGTTTAGGAAACCCAACTTACCGGTGATACATAGACGTGAACAATCGTGATACAATGTTCCGAGACGAGGACACATCAAGTGAGGATGAAGTCACGCACATCGTGCGTGAACAGACTCTCAGGATCATCATTGAGTTGTGTGTCCCTACTTGAAACTCGACCAGCTTGATGACACCAATATATTTCAGGATGTTGCAGAAATCCATGTCTCATGCGGGTGCTGTAAACCTAAACCATAAAAGATCAAGAAAGGACGGTATGTGAAAAGCTGAAAGCTCACCTTGTGCCACCTGGAAATGGGAAATTTTTTCACAGATTGACATGATTGAGGTCAATATAAAACACCTATTTAGAAAACCTCTACGAAAGTCTGACATTGGGTTTCGAGCTTGAGTCGGTAACAGCGTGGGAACAAAAAGACGGCCTTTGATCTCTTTCGACGAGCTGGAGCCTCTCGCGCCTTCTACTCCTCACCTTCCTATCCTATTATATGTGCAGCAATGTGTCGCATACTATTGTCGTGGGGTACTACAGGAGTGGCTGGCGGTGCCTTGGACACGCAAACCAGAGCATGACAAATTCGTGTATTCGAGACATACGTACCAGAATTCCCGGCCCACTAGTACGGGCAGTCTGACATTTTCGCTCACTTAAGCTTAAGCTTCAACGCCAATCCATGTCTGAGACCAGACTCTCAGAGGACTAGTCTTATTAGACACTTTGAGCTTAAGTGACTGTATTGGCAATGCAGTCACTCATTTAAGCTCAAGGCGACGAGATTGGTTGGCGTCAGTTTGAGGAATCCTTATCTTCATAGCGTCCCGAATAGGTAGGTGCTGTTGTTCAGATGAGCCTCCTCACGCCGTTGCGAAATTGATCGCTACAGACGTTCAAAAATTCGCATCTAGGGGGACGAAATCGAGCAGACGGGTGCGGACGAACAAATACCGCTGCGCGGCAACGATACTTCCGAGCGAGTAAGCGGGTGTCTCCCACCGTGTCATCGTGACCCCCCCAAAGCTTGCCTCGTTGTCGATGAGGACAAATACTGGTGGCACCATAACATGTGGACAATTCCACTTGCTAGCTTATGACATCCGAGTCCAACCTTTGAACGTGGTCTGACGCCAATACCAAATACATCCGGCTTCGTTCTCCCACATATTGCCAATTCGCGGAAGATTTGGTTACAGCTGAATGTGAACATTATGCCGCATCATTTGTTCGCATGCTGCTTTTTAGGAGCCCTTAGCTAGGTACGCGGAATATTCGCTCCCCGCGTGTAGTCAGACCACCAGCTGAGGAAGGAATTTCTGATAGTAACATGATACGATTTCCCTTGAATTACTCGAGAGTTACGATACGCTGTCATTGAGGCCCGCCGCGACTGCAGTAGAGCGAAAACATTTGTCATGGGTGGGGTAAGTAGACTGTTCGTTTGGCACGGATCTCCAAAGACAGTACCAGAGCGACATGTAATGATGCAGACCATCATCTGAGGATGCCATTTTTATAAAGCCCTGTGTAAACGGTACGCATCATGAAATTATTCCTAGGAGTATGGGGATGTAATGCCGCATTACAGATGCAGTCACAATGCCGCAAGTGCATGCATACAGATAAGCTCGACTCTGTGAGAAATATGGGCCGTAGGTGACTTGGAATGGCGAGTGTTCAAAACCTGGGTTAGCAACGGAAATCATACCCGCGCGGTACTGAGTACCTTCGAACCATGCGGTAACGGTATGGGGAGATCTGTCAAGCGGATGAAGTGCGGCTCAGGTGACCTCCATGCGTGATTGACTTCTGTACTGGATATGGTACAGATGTTCCTGGCAGATGGAGAATGCGCGGACACCCACCCATCCTCGCATAATTCTCAAGGTGCAGGCCCCGGCCATCGGAGAGGAGAACGCCACCGAATGGGTACTGGCCACAAGGGTCCAGTTTCGGACCCATTTAAAAGGGCTTGCCGAGCCGGTGAGCGAGCATACCCCTGAGGTACCCGAGCTCGCTAAATGAATACTTTCAGAATGGTAGTAGCAGGGAGGGCGGGACACGAAAAATGTCCATATAGGATGCGTTAGATGCATTACCAGTCAAAGAAGCGATGTCGATGTCAAAAAGCTATACGACATGTATATGGGAGCCTGTACTTAAGGGGATAGGTCTGAGTTTGGCTTGCATGATGCAGCCATGCATACATTAATTAAACGCTGCAATGACCACAAGCACATTCGGAACAGGCCAGCAAATCAAATGCGGTATGAGGTTGAGAACAGAATTTGAGTGACCACAGCGCTGCCAAGTCTTATCGGACGTTCTTGGAGCGTGAGGCATCTTCTGCATGATGACAGATTTCGAGAAATGGAGGATCCACACAGGCATGTGGTATGACGCAGCAAATGTCTACGTTCGGAGGGGGAAGTTGTACCTGAGCGTTCGCGGCGATTGGATTTTTTTCTAAAGTAAGTCTAGGCTAAGCTGTGTCCGCTTTCCGAGAGTCATGCGCCAGATCCAATGTGTACGAAACCTCCACTTAACGGCTGGTTTGTGACACTCGTGCCTGCCCGCATTTCTCGCCTGTGAAGTTGCATCTCAGCATGGACCAGGGTCGATATGACCGGCAGTAGCGATGTCGGATTACATATAGATGTGGAGCATCAGTCACTTGTCATGACCTGGGGAATTCGTGGTTCGCCAATCCACTGTGAGCGCACCAAAAATTACGGGAAATCAGACCTCAGCTGACCCATGAACGTGCGTGGATGTACATGAATTATTACGCAGACTTTTAGAGACCTGTGTAGCATGGCCACGAATACAAGGTTGCGGACTTGGCATACCTTTCGCGTAGACATGGATGGAAGATGCATGCGGACGAATTGACAGCGGATAACGGTGTTGAACTTGACACGATTACTCTGTAACAGAGCCAGCCGAAAATTAGCTGATTTTCCGAAACAAGGCCCTGAGGTAACACAACTATGAGGATCCTAGAATCCTTGCTCTATAGGGATTTCCCATATTGCCAGGTATTCTGGAAAGATCGCATGTGCATCAAAAGAACAGTGAGTGAAGATGAATGTGTCCTTGTTGCAAAAGAACGTATTTAGTATGTCAGCACAATAAAATTGGCCACGTCATTCGGTATACGTTTGCTCAAATGGACCAACGCGCACCATAAAATCATTCGAAACTGATTGAAACCAGGCACCCGATCCTTTTCTCGAGACCAGGAGAGCACTGCGGAAAAATCCGAAGCATCGTGGCCGTTTTCTAACCGCGGTAAAGCCGAGAGGGCGCGCGGGAGCTCCACTACGTGTGAAGTGCGCCGAGCCTGGAACTGTCATCAGCTTGAGAGTAATAGCATAACAAAAGTCAGAGGACTCACATCGTCGATATCCAAATAAGCGAAGACCACTGCGAAGGGCGGTCACGGTAGGTCCACATAATCCTCATGTAGATTCTAGTATCGGCGTAGATTTAAATTGGATAACTGGGCCACATGCAGCTCACCCTCTTGACGAGATGACTTCAAGTAGCGCGTACATTGCCTATAGCTTCAGTAAGAAAAACATAGACCACGGATACCCATTGACGCCGAACACTTCCATTGCTTACGCGTAGTGAGCCGATAGTCTGCGAGATCGTCATCACGATCTCGGAATCCCATGTATAGCAACGGTACTAATAGTGGAGAGATCTGTCTATATCCGAAATCCGGTCGTCCAACGTGATGCGAGCGAGGCTGATTTTCCGTCCGGCCATTCTGTACTCTCGTGCTCGATGACAATATGCGTTCGAACAGAAAAGGAGGGAGATGATGCACCACTCCGCAAACCCCATGTCATCGTCACGGATAAGCTGTAAATCCGCCACACACCATTGCAATTAGCCCAGGTACAAGAGATGTGATCATTCACCTGATCAGTCGACAATGTAGATTTCACCGTGAGCACGTAGAACTTATGCGAGGACCCCATGGAGTTGTATGACCGCACGAAAGGGTCCGCGAACAGTGATCCTCAGGCTCTGCACTATGTGATTGGCCTCCGAAGCTTTTGAATTGGGTCGCCTATAGAAGCGCTTAGAGAACGCCTAGGTAACATCGAAGTCGAACTGTATATATTCGTAGTCCGCTGTGGAGTAAACGTTCGGTGTCAGTACTCGCAGTGCGCATCCTGACATGAATTCAAATGTCACTTATCCGACTTGACAATCAATTTACAGCCACGAACAATACGCATA